CTTTTTTTATGGCTAAATAGTATATCACTGTGTATATATACCACTTTTTCTTTATGCATTTCCACTGATGGACACTTAGATTGATTGTGAATAATGCTGCGATGAACATGGGAGTGGAAATATCCCTTGACATACTGACTTCATTTCCTTTGTATATATACCTAGTAGTGGTATTGCTGCATCTATGGTAGTTTCGAGGAACTTCCATACCATTTTCCATAATGGCTGTATCAATTTACATTCCTGCAACAGTACAATGGTTCCCTTTTCTTCACATCCTTGCCAACACTTACCTCTTGTCTTTTTGATAACAACCATTAAAACAGGTCTGAAGGAATATCTCATTATAGTTTTAATTTGCATTTACCTGATGATTAGTGATGCTGAACGTTTTTTCATATACCTGTTGGCCATGTATATGTCTTTTTTGAGAAATGTCAATTCAGGTCCTTTGCCCAATTTTAAATCAAGTTGTTTTCTTACTATTAAGTTGTTTGGGTTCCTTATATATTTTGGATATTAGCCCCTTATCAGATGTATGGTTTGCAAATAAATTTTCTAATATGGTAAGTTGTCTCTTTACTCTGTTATTTCCTTTTCTGTGCAGAAGCTTTTTAGTTTGATGTAACCCCATTTGTCTATTTTTGCTTTTGTGGCCTGTGCTTTTGGGGTCATATTAAAAAATCTTTGCCCAGACCAATGTCATGAAGTTCTTCCCTTATGTTTTCTTCCAGTAGTTTCACATCTTCAGGTCTTATGTTTAAGTATTTAATCCATTTTGAATTACTTTTTGTACATGGTGTGAGATGAGGGTCTAATTTCATTCTTCTGCATGAGGATATTTTTCCAGCACCGTTCATTGAAAGACTGCCCTTTCCCCATTGTGTGTTCTTGGCATCACTGCTGAAAATCAGTGGATGTAAATGTGTCAATTGCATGTATATGTTTCGGGGCTCTCTACTCTGGTCCATTAGTCCATGTCTGTTTTTATGCCAGTACCATGCTGTTTTGATTATTACAGCTTTGTGATCAATTTTCAAATCAGGTAGTGTTATGCCTTGAACTTTGTTCTTTTTACTCAAGATTGCTTTGGCTATTAAGGGTTTTTTGTGGTTCCATGTGAATTTTAGGATTGTTTTCCTATTACTGTTAAAAATATCATTGGAATTTTGATAGAGATTGCATTGAAACTGTAGATTGCTTTAGGCAGTTATGGTTATTTTCACAATATTAATTCTTCTAATCCATGAACATGGGATATCTTTCCATTTCTTTGTGTTGTCTGCAATTTCTTTCATCAGTGTTTTATAGTATATAGATCTTTCGCCTCTTTGGTTAAACTTATTACTAAGTATTTTATCTTTTTGTAGCTACTATAAATGGGATTATTTTCTTGATTTCTTTTTTACATAGTTTGTTGTCAGTGTATAGAAACACTGCTGATTTTTGTATGTTGATTTGTATCTTGCAACTTTACTGAATTTATTTATTCATTCTAACAGTTTTTTGGTGGAGTCTTTAGGGTTTTTTATACAAAAGATCATGTCATCTGTAAACAGAGATAAATTTAATCTTTTCCTTTTCCAGGTGTGTGCCTTTTATTTCTTTCTGTTGCCTAATTGCTCTGGCTAGGACTTCCAGTACTATGTTGAATAGAAGTGACAAGAATGAGCATCCTTTTCTTGTTTCTGATCTTAGAGGAAAAGCTTTCAACTTTTCACAATTGAGTATAATGTTATCTATGGGTTTGTCATAAGTGGCCTTTATTGTGTTAATGTACATTCTTCTATACCTAATTTGTTGAGAGTTTTTATTGTGAAAGGATGTTGAAATTTATCCAATGCCCTTTCTGCATCTGTTGAGATGATCATATGGATTTTGTCCTTCATTTTGTTAATGTGGTAGATCACATTTATTGATTTGTGTTGTACCATCCTTGCATCCCATGGACTAATCCCCATGATTATGGTGAATGATCCTTTCAAGGTCCTATTGGGTTTAGTTTGCTAGTATTTTCTTGAGGACTTTTGTATATATGTTCATCAGGGATATTTGCCTGTAATTTTCTTTTCTTGTAGTGTCCATGTCTGGTTTGGTATCAGAGTAATGATGACCTCTTAAAACGAGTTTGGAAGATTTTCCTCCTCTTCAATTTTTTGGAAGAGTTTGACAAGGATTGGTATTAGTTCTTTAAATTTTGGTAGAATTCAGCAGTGAAAATATCTGGTTCTGGGCTTTCCTTGATGGGAGACTTTTTATTACTGATCAATCTCCTTGTTACTGGTCTATTCAGATTCTCCATTTCTTCATGACTTAGTCTTGGTAAGTTGTATGTGTCTATGAATTTATCCATTTCTTCTAGGTTATCTGATTTGTTGGTGTATACTTATCCATAATAGTCTTGTATCATTCCTTTTATTTCTGTGGTATCAGTTGTAATGTCTCCTCTTTCATTTCTGATTTTTTATTTTTGAGTCTTCTTTCCTTCTTAATCTAGCTAAGGTTTGTTGATTTACCTTTTCAAAAAACAACTGTTTTGCTGATCTTTTCTATTGTTTTTCTAATCTGTATTTCATTTATTTCTGCTCTGTATTGTTTCCTTCCTTCTACTAACTTCATGATTAGTTTGTTCTTTTTCTACTTTCTTGAAGTGTAACATTAAGTTGTTTATTTGGATTTTTTCTTTTTTGATGCAGCCATTTATCACTATGAATTTTCCTCTTAGAACTGCTTTTGCTGCATCTCATAAGTTTTGGTATGTTGCTTCCATTTTTATTTGTCTCAAGATACTTTTAATTTCTTCTTTGACCTATTGGTTGTTTAGAAGCACATTACCTAATTTCCACAAATTTGTGAATTTCCCAAAATTCCTATTATTGATTTCTATTTTCATACCTTTGTGGTCAAAAAAGATAGTTCATATATTTTCAATCTTCTTAAATTTACTAAGACTTGTTTTGTGGCCTCTATATGATCTATCCTGGAGAATATTCCATGTGCACTTGAGAAGAATGTGTATTCTGCTGCTATTGAATGGAATGTTCTGTGTATGTCTATTAGGGCCATTTGATCTGAAGTGTAGTTCATGTCCAGCATTTCCTTATTGATTTTCTGTTTGGATGATCTGTCCATTGTTGCAAGTGGGATATGAAGTGTCCTCCTATTATTGTATTGCAGTCTCTCTTTTCAGATCTATTAACATTTGCTTTACATTTTTAGGTGTTCCAATGGAGGGGCCATATAAATTTACAATGGTTATATCTTCTTGATGAATTGATACATTTCTCATTATATAATGACCTTGTCTCATTTTACTGTTTTTGACTTAAAGTTCATTTTATCTGATATAAGTATAGTTTTTTGTTTTGTTTTTTTTGTCTGTTTTGAGACCGGCCGCACCGCGCTCAGCCAGTGAGCGGTGACTGGCCATCCCCATATAGGATCTGAACCTGCGGCGGAAGCGCTGCTGCGCTCCCAGCGCCGCACTCTCCCGAGTGCGCCACGGGCTCGGCCCGATGTAAGTATAGTTTAATCCTGCTCTTTTGGTTTCCATTTGCATGGAATATCTTTTTCCCTCCTTTCACTTTCAATCTATGTATGTCCTTAAAGGTGAAGTGAGTCTCTTGTATATAGTTGGATCTTGCTTTTTAATTCAATCAGTTATTCTATAGTCTTTTTATTGGAGAATTTAACTCATTTACATTCAAGATTATTATTGACAGGTACTGCAGCCATTTTGGTAATTGTTTTCTGGTTTTTTTGTAGATCCTTTGTTCCTTTCTTCCTCTCTTGCTGTCTTCTTTTATGATTAGTTGGTCTCTAGTGGTTTGCTTTGATTCCTTAGTTTTTATATTTTGTGTATCTACTATAGGATTTTGCTTTATGGTTACCATGAGGCTTACATAAAACATCTTATAATTATAAAGGCTATTTTAAGCTGACAACAACTTTTCTTTGCTCACATAAAATAACTACACTTTCACTCCACCCCTCCCAAACCCATTTTATATTTTTGATGTCACAATTTACATCTTTTTATATTGTATATCCTTCTGTCTTAGTTCTTTAGACTACAGAATGAAGAAGAGTAATCACCAAGTTTTGCTTTGAGAATATCAAGTTCCTTTGGCCTTAACTTTAGATTCATCAAGAATCTTCTGATATATAACTTGGGGAGGTAGCATCACTGGCTATGAAATCACAGTTCTGAGTTCAAATCCCTACTCTGCTACTTCTTTGTCACCTTCATTAAATTCCTTATCATCTCTGAGCCTCAGCTATCTCATCCATAACCTGGGTTGAGACTGTCTCATAAAGCTGCAATGGGCATCCATTTGGTGATGATCACTTAATACTCAATCACTTCCCTCGACCCTATCTTCTCACACCTTCATTAGGAAGCAGCACCCTGTGTAACCCAGGTCGTGGGAAGAGTTGTATAATAAAAGCTAAGCTAACATTTCTGGGGCATTTTCTATGTGCCTGCACAGTGCTAAATGTTTACATGTATCATCTCATTTTGTCTTCATAACAGCTCTATTTATAAAGAAACTGAAACTTAGAGAGATTAAGTGACTTGCTCAAAATCACAGCTAGTACATGGCAGAAGTAGCATGTTTTCTCTTAAGAAAGTCAATATATTTGTATCTAGTTAATAATCTATTTCCTGTTTCATTTCTAAGTAAATTTATAAAGGTGGAAACCTAGGTCTCTGGGTATGGTGACCTCCTGTGATTGTTGGTTCAATGATATATGAAGTCCCAGGGCCAGAAATGTAACAGTAATACCCTCTTTGGTAGTCTAGCCCCTGTCGTAGCAGCACTTGGGTGTTTGGGCTGCTCAACAATGTAGCCTGCAATGGAGCTACATATCTGAATAAAGTAGGGTTGCTGCAGTCAGGTTCCCTGACTTTGAGCTAATAAAACTGAATTATGGCAATCGGGCTCTAAATGTCCTCCAGGACTTGACAGATTGAGAGCTAGACAGCCAGTCAGCAGGCCTGCAGAACTTAAACACAGAAGCATTTATTGTTAAAAGTTAACATAAACACATCAAAAGGGAGTTGTTCCCAGCCCCCGTAGGTTCTTTGCTCTCTCCAATGCATGTTTCAGTTATAATGCAGCCTGGCCAAGCACTTTGAAGATGAAATTCCTCCATGCTGCTCACCAGCTGAGGAGACGTGGCATGACAGACTCTTGAATGCCATCAGCATGAGCTCCGTCTACTCTCTGGGCTTCAGGGGTAACAAGAAAAAGTCTCAAAAGACAAAATGTATTTCCTAAAAAGCTGGATGGAGGTATGTGGCATTCCTTTGCTTAACAAGCAAAACAGAATCAACCAGTCTGGTGAACTGATGCTGTGACAATCCTATGGAAGAGACAGGAGTGTCCATTGGGAATGGTGGGTGTGGAAGCCCTGGGCACAGAAGTCCAACCTGGAACCTCTGCCTAGAAGTGTGGGAAGCAGTGGAGGCCAAGCTAGTCAGAGAAAAGGGGCCTAGCCCCAGCTGTCTTGGGATCGTCTCTGGGTTGCCAGGGTCAGGCCCCAGGAGGCTTCAGTCCTCAGTCACAGGAGGGGGAATGAGCTGCAGCTGGAAGTTCTCATTCTGGAAGATGCTGTTGAAAGCAGGACCACTCTGGGAGCCACTGAATGGCCTGTAGTTCTCACTGCTGCGATTCTGAGAGAGTTCTGTAAGGAGAGCCAACTAAAAGGAAGGGACACACATCAACCAAGGCTTGTGAGAGGCAGAGAATCTGTGTGTGTGGGCATGGGAGGGGGGTGTGGGACAAAGGTGGAGAGGATCCTGAATTCCCCTGCCTCAGACACAGGAGAGACAGCACTACACTGTGGGAAGAGTAAAGAAACTGGGTTTGGGTCCCAGGTCTGTATCTCACAAACTAGTATAGGTGGAGCATTCCTAATCCAAAAAATTGATATCCAAAATGCTCCAAAATCCAAAACTTTTTGAGCACTGACATGACACTCAAAGGAAATGCTCATCACAGCATTTCAGATTTCTGGATTAGGGATGCTCAAGTAGTAGTAGTAGTATGCAAACATTCCAAATTCCAAAAAAAAAAAAAAATGCAAAACACTTCTGGTCCCAAGCATTTCGGATAAGAGATGTTCAATCTGTAGTGATTTTTTGGCAACTTCATCTTTTAGGGCCAAAATGTCCTCATTCTATAATGATGAGACTGGACTGGTTTGCTCCCAAGTGCACACAGACTATGCTCTCTGACACCAGACAGCTGACAAAGACCTGCCCTGTACCCTGAGTGTCCTACAGTTGCTGTGCATGACCCTGTTGCTGCCTTTGTCTCCCTGTGGAAATGCCCTGAGCTGATGTTCTCCATTCTCAGCTCAGCTCATTCCACTCTTTCCCTCTTGGTGAGTTCTCCCTGGGGTGAATGAGCCTGAATTATGACCACTGGCTCTAACCTCTCTCTTTTGTAACCTGGATAGCTCCAAGTGGATGTCCAGCTACAGACTCAAACTTAGGAGCTGCAGAAAAACTCACAGTCTCTACCTTCTCCCCAGATGAGTCCCCTGCTCCCATCTTCCCTATTCCCACAGCAATACCAGCAATACCCTCACTCTGTTAGCGGCTGAGTTCTGGAAGACCTGCCAAGGAGGAGAGAATGGCAGGAGGAAGTGTTACTGCCAGTCATTGGGAAGCCAGGCTCTGCCAAGCAGAGAGGCCATCCCTCTCACTTAGAGAGTCTTTCTACAAAAGTAAGGAGCCTGATGGCCTGGACTTGGGATGCCCTTGACAATCGGAGAAGAGATGAATTCCACCCCAGGGTCCTTAACTTCTTGCCCAGTAGGCATCTTTGCAAACTGCTTCCCCAGGTGTTAACGGAATCACCTGACCCACCCAAAGAGCTAACTTGAAGAAAAACTCAGAGCCAAGATAAAATGCTCCCTTTTAACAGTACATGGGACTCGTGGGATGGAGGCCTTGTGTCCCACCACCAATATTCTGAGCAAAGCTGCTTAAGCTTGAGTCTAGGCCAGTGAAAGCCTGACCTATGTGGACTCCCTGGAGAGGAGGCATCTGTGATGAGTGACCCATCACACTCCTCAGGGCAACCCTGTGTTTGGCTTGTCAGAAGTCCAAGAGGACTTCTAATAACCTCAGGAACTATATCGAGTGTCTTTTCCGTGCCAGGCACTATGCCAGGTGCTTTATGTGTGTTATTTCTAATCCTTCACCACAACCCTCTGAGGTAAAAAACCCAGAGCCCCAAGAAGTTGAGTAGCTTGTTCTAGCTCAGCTGGCAGTGAGTGGTAGTGTGGAAATCAAACTCAGGTCTTTGTGGTGATTTCTGCTCAGCCAAGCTGCCTACAGTTCTGCCTTCCCTGGAGATAACTTGTCTGTCACCTTTTCCCTCCCCACCTGCCCTGCCAGGCACCCTGTCTTCTACCTGTTCTCTGACTTCTAGCAAGGGGTTCTCTCCTCACACGCAATAACGGCACAATGCTCACATGTGTCCATTCGTCACTTCTGCTGAAAACTCACTACCAGTAGCTGTGGTAGTTGGGGAGACATCTGAATGCCTGTAAGTTCTAAGTTCCATGTCCTGGCTCAGAGACATGTCTTTGATCTAATTTCACAATTCAGTGACTCTGAGGCTCTGACTGCAAGTTTCTGAGCTGTCCAAAGATACACATGAGGTAGGTTGGGTCAAGCAACCTAACCAGGGACCTCCACTGATGCCCGTGCAGGTTACAGAGAGATGTCCCTTGCTCTCTCAAGCCCCACCATGTGCCACTCCCTTTCTCCATAATGCCCTCAGCACTGTGGAGTGCTCTGAGAGGACCATTATGTACAACGCTTTGAGGAGAACAGGCAACAGCTGCTAAACTCCAGCTGCTTTCACATTCTGACACTGTGAGGCAAGAGATCGACCACATACAAAAAGTTATTTCCCAAGAAAAGAGAGATTTTTGTGTTCTACATCTGTAACTTAGAGATCTGGAAATAAATGAGCTCTGAATAATGGCTCAACAGTCTGAAGCAGGAGGACTTCCTTGGAAGGCCCAGGAACCAACTCCTAGGGCAGAGCTTGGCTGAGACTGAGAAGGGATAGAGGTGATGCCAGATTAATAAAGATACTGGGCCATATTCAGGAGACCCCTGGAGAAATCTCCTGGAATGAAAACTCTACCCAGACCAACTCTCAAACAGGGAACACCATTTGTCTCTGGGTTGCCAAACAACCTGGCAGTGGCAGGTGACTGCCTAAGAATGAGGTGTGGGAGATGGGAGAGCAGGCATAGGAGCAGAGCACATAAGTAGTTTGTGCAAGCTCAAGATAAGCTCGGGACAAGTTGGGCCTGGCTGGAATTCAGCTGTAACTTGGGGAGTAGAGGAGGTGGCAGAGTTTGGACTTCATCCTTCAGGTGGGGGAGATCCAGAATGTATTTTAAGTAAGGGGGTAACAGGACACATGGGGTTTGGAAAGAGTACCCTGGCATCCGCATAGAGAAGGGACAGGAGAGTTTCTAACCAATCAGAAGACCAGCAGTGGCCTCTGTGAGTGACAAGGAGGCCTGACCCACAGTAGTGGCAGTTGGGAGGGAAAGGGGAGAAAGAGAGAAGCTGCCTGCAGATATCTCCAGTGGGTAGATGGAGGGTGATGGATGAGCCCAGGGGGCTGCCAGTCCCTCTTCTGTTTGACTGGATGAGAGAAGGTGCTATTCCCAAACTAATTCAACCAATGCAGATGCCCAGGAGTGTCTGGGGCTTAGAACAGATTTGGCAGTCATCAGTATAAACAAAGCCTCCTGGATGAGGGATTAGGATCTAGCTTGCTTACTGTGGAGGTAGGTCAAATATAGAAGCCCTTCTGTGTCCTCACAGCCCATGGTAGGTAAGGAACACACATCTCTCCACATATACTGCCCTCTTTGCCAAGTTCTGAGTGCTCCCTGGGGCCAGGGCCAGTTGGCCATATGGCTATAACAGGGATGACAGGGCACATTCCAGGCTAAGGAAGAGGCTAGAGGGGGAATTTGAAGACAAGGCCTTTCCAAAACAGTAATTTACAAATAGGGAAATAAAAATATATACAATCACACAAACGTTACCCTGGAACTTCCTCTGTACAGACGGCAAAGTTGATCAAATGCTTGGACTTGCTGTGGATCCAGAACAAGTTCTGAGGTTGCCTGAGAAACCAAAAATGATAATATTAGTAACACTACATGCTGGGTCCCTGGGCAGCCTCTGAACTTGCACCACACCGACGGTGAAGTAGGACATGGAGCTTCATTCTCCTGAAGAAAATCCATGCTGCCAGCACTTAGTGAGAGACATCCTGCTGAACCTTAGAAATGGGCATGTTCCTCTGAAGTCCTTCCTCGGTGCTGCCCCACGTTGACCTGTCTATGGACCCTTTTCCCAATGTGCCTAGTAGACGCTCACCTGACTTAAAATTCTTCCAGGAATAAAATAATTTTTAAAAAGGGAGCATTCAGGGAATAACTAACCAATCACTAAGGTGAAGATTTCTGTTCTCTTTTTCATAGTTCTGTGGTTCAAAAGATCAAGGGTTCAAAAGGGCAAGAGTGAGGGGCAGCTGCTCACAGAAGGCCCATCTAGCTGGCTTTCACCCTGCCTGTGCAGACTTCTGATGTGCTTAATGGACTCCTGTCCCATCACCTCTGTGCCTCAAGAATTGGGATTGAATTCTATGGTTCAATGGATATTTCTGGAGCCCCTACTCTATCAGTTCCTGGTGTACAAAAGTAAAGGAGTCAAAAGGAGTTTAATGTCTCATAGATTCTGGGGCATTAAAGCCCCATGAAAAGGTTTCACCTTCTCCAGTGTTGATAAGCAAAACTTGAGAGGTTACTGAGGTATAATAGCCACAGACTGCATATTTTCCAGGGCAATCCTTGTTTGAAATATGCTCTTACATTATCTACATAAACCATCAAAATGTCCCTGAAATTATATTTTGGGGTCCAAATTACACCCTTACACAAAGTGGGACATTGAAGTCTCAGTTCTGGCCCCCTCTTCAGAACATCTTCTCTGAGTTCCCTAACCTTGTCAACAGACAGTGTTCTCCCTTCTGTGCTTCTACCTGATCCAGGCATAACTGTATTGTTCACTCATTGTGGTGTAAACACGTGCCTCACCTGGTAGACTATGAACTCCCTGAAGACCAGAACTGGATCTTACTCATCCTTCTATTCCCAGTGCTCTGCAGCCAGAAAATGGTCAACAAACATTTGCTAAGTATTTCGTATCAAATTGTGTCCCCCCAAAAGTTTAATGTGTTGGAGGCTTGATCCCCACTGTGACAGTGTTAAGAAGGTGGGAAATCCTATTATGATAATTGAAAGGTAGGGCCTTGAAGAGGTCATTAAGTTGATGGTTTTATGGTGGTTGAAGGGTATGGTTCTCAGGGCTTTAAAAGGAGAGGGTGTAAGGGGCTCGCTCTCTCTCTGCTCTGCCATTTTCTGCCATGTGAGATCCCTATAAAGCCACCACCAAAGAAGATTCTCACCAGATGTGTTCCCTGGACTTGGAACTTCCCAGCCTCTGAAACTGTAAGCAATAAATTTCATTTTCTTTATAAATTACCCAGTTCCAGGTATTTTGTTATAAGCAATAGAAATGGACTAATATAGAAAACTGGTACCAGAGAAGTGGGGTGTGGCTTACAAAAGATACTTGAAAATGTGGAAGTGTCGTTGGAACTGAGTACTGAGGAGAGCCTGGATGAATTTGAAGGAGCACGCTAGAAAAAGCCTAATTGCTGATGAGAGTTTAAACACAACAAAGCCAGGGAAAGTTTGAAACTTCTTTTTTTTTTTTCCTTTTTGTCTTTTTTACTGACCAGTAACGGGATTGCAACCCTCGGTGTCGCGCCCGCACCGGGGACCGGCAACGGGATCGCAACCCTTGGTGTTGCGCCCGCACCGAGCTCAACCAGTGAGCGGGAACCAGTCTCCACATGGGATCCGAACCCTCAGCAGGAGCGCCGCCGCGCTCCCAGGCGGCGCACTCTCCAGTGCGCCACCAGGCCGGCCCTGAAACTTCTTAAAGACTGGTTAAATGGTGGTTAGCAGAATGCTGATAGAAATATGGACAGTAAAGGCCAAACTGAGGGGATTTCAGATGTAAACTGGGGCAAAGATCACCCTTGCTATGAACTGGCAAAGAACTTGGCTGCATTCTCTTCATGGTCAAAAGTTTTATGGTATGCGGAACTTAAAGATGCCAAACCAGGGTATTTGGCAGAAGAAATTTCTAAGCAGCAAAGTATTCAGTAAGGTACACTGGCTACTTGGAACAGCTTAGGCTGAGTTATGGCAGCAAAGGCATGCGGTAAAGCCATGATTTAAAAGGGAAGCAGAGCATAAAGATTTGGAAAATTTGCAGCCTGGCCATGTCGTAGAGAATCAGAAAGCATTTTCAGAAGAAAAATGCAATGGTGTTAGGAAGATTAGTACAAAAGAAAGGGATTATCAAGAGAAGAGGAAAAATGCCCTGAAGGTATTGAAGAAACCTCTGGGCCAACCCTTCCATTTCAGGCCCAAAGGCCTAGGGAGACAGAATGGTCTTGGGGAACAGGCCCGAGGTGCCCTCCACAGGCTCACTGCCCAAGGCCAGCTTGGGATGCTGCTCTCCACACCAACACCCCAGCCATGGCTAAATTGGCTGCAGATGTGGCTGGACCCACAGCTTTGAAAAATACAAGCTGGAAGTCCTGGTGGCATCCACATGGTGTTAGGTCTGCAGGCTGACAGAATGCTAGAGTTGTGAAGGTTTGGGAGCCTCCACCTCAATTTCAAAGGATGTATGGAAAAGCCTGGGGGCCCAGGAAGAGATCTGATGCAGGGGTGGATTCTCCACAATAGCCTTTCCTAGAGCAATGCCAAGAGGAAATGTGGGGTAGGAACTGCAGCAGGAAAAACCCCACCAAGGCAATGCCTAGTGGAATTGTGGGAGTGAGACCACTAGGGAGACCCCAGAATTGTACAGCTACCAGCATGCAACACTAGCTTAGGAGAGCTGAAGCATGGCCTAAGACCAGGAAAGCCATAGGACTGGAGCTGAGGACTTGGGGGCTCAACCCCCACACCAGAGTACAGAGGAAATTCAACATGGAGTCAAGGCACATGATTCACCAGCTTTTAGATTTAATGTCTGCCCTGCTGGGTTCTGGACTTGTTTAGGACTGTTATCCTTTCTTTTGGCCTATTTCTCTCTTTTGAATGTGAATATGTACCCTATGTTTGTTCCACCATTGTATCTTGGAAGTAGATAACTTGTTTTGATTTCACAGATGGGACCTCCCTGAGGACTCGACCTGTCTGTCCTGATCACCAGTGCCAAGCACTGTGGCACACACAGAGCGGCTGTGAAATAATTATGTGCTGATCAAATGGCTGTAGGGATGGGAAGGGCGAGCAAGCAGACTTTCTCATTCTGATGTTTCACTGAAGTTTTCATAGATCCTCTGCAACTCAGTAAGAGGAACATAGGGCAGGGCTTCTGACAGACTTGGGCTCAATCCAGATTCTGCCCACAACTAGCTGAGTGGCTCTAGGCAAATTATTTAGCTTCTTTCAATCTCAGTTTCTTTATCTGTAAAACTCTACTTTGCAGAAATTGTGAGAATTAGAGATAATGTACAGGCCTGGAGCCTATTTGATGTTCAGTAAATGGCAGCGATTACTGCAACTGTGTTATTTGTACTCCCAGAGAAAAGTGTCCTGTACAAAGAACAATAGGCTGAGAATCAGGAAACCTGAGCTCTAATCCTGTCACCAGCTCCTGTATAACCTGAGATGGTCGCATCTCTCCTCTGCGTTTGTGTTCCAATTTACTTGGGGCACACTTTACTATCCTGAGAAGATGTTGAGAGCCATGAAATAACAGGCAGTTAGGGCATGAAAGTTTCAAGTAAAATAGTCATATTTATTAAAGCCAATCATGGCTTTTATTGCATAATCAGAAGCAAACCAGGCCAACCATTGAGGGGCACTGTCACAGACTCATGATAGCCCTGAGTTGTCATGAAATAACAGATTCAGTGTACAGGTGCCATACAGAGAAACTGATCTGCCACATCAGTGTCATGCCCAAAATAAAAGCGGAAGCAACAAAATATGAACACAATCTCAGTTTGGCAAATCCATAAACATAAAACACCCTTCGCAGTATTCCCAGACCTTCTAGCCCCCAAGCATAGAATTGATTAGGACTGATTTTCCAACTGGAAGAGAAGGAAAAACACATTTGATGCTATCTGCGAGAGCAAATTTCTTTCTTCCTGTGTAATGAAGTCGTGAGAAGAGCTGAAAATTAAACTGTAGCTGAACATTAGAGGGAGAAACAGTGACAGCCCCGGAAATGACCTTGTAACACTCAGCATTAAAGTAAACCCAGTGGAAAATGAGGTCCTGATGATCTACAAGAGCCCCAGGGAGAGGAACGTCGGGCTAACACAGTGCACCAGCACATTTCAAAGCTCAGTAATGCACAAATGTGGTGGAGTGAAAGCTGTAATTACATCCGCTGGAAGAAGAAAACAAACCAGGGCCATCAGGATCCACAGACCTCTTAACTAGCACATGAAGCTTCAGTACAGAAACCACCATGATCCACTGCCACCCTGAAGGCCTGGCTCACAATAATAGGGATTATAATAGTAGGGATTCTGGATATGAAGCCTTCAGAAGACTGAGCTGTGCTTGTTCATTTCTTATTCTCTACAATAAATAAGGTCCTGAAATCAAAATCCTAACATTTCCTTTTCTAATCATCTTCCCACACTAACACATGAGATGGCTAAACATAGTTTGTGAGAGACATGGGACTCTTCGTATAATTCTGCAACATGATTGTCTGTCTTTTCTATATTCTAGGAGCCTTCTATGGGCATTTCTGTAATTTGCTGCTGGCAATGGAGGTAGAGGTGGAGAGTGGTATGAGTGGAACGAGCACCACTTTCCCCACTGTCTTCCTGCCTGCCCTTGACCTCACTTTCAAATCTTTCCTCATATCTGTTATAGGTCTTATCCAGACTTTTGCCACCACCTAAGTTTTTTCAAACCAGAGATCCGTAGTATTTAAAGGTTTTGCCTAAAATGAAACCTTGGTTTCACAGATAAGAGCAAAGCCATACCTCCTTCCCCTCTGCAAGTGGAAA